AAAAAAAAGTCAATATGTAATAAATATCCAAAAATTCATGGTTTTTGCATTAATGAGGTAAACGTTGCTTATCTACCAATGTTCTTCACTGAACTTGTGAATAAGTAAAATTGTGTGCACATGGGACCAGTTGAGTTTCAGGGTCAGCTAACAAAATTTCCATTCTTTCATTGAAATATGCATCCTTGTTACTAGACATGACATGATCCGAACTGGCCCGGAACCAGCCCGGACTACGGGTCTTGGAACCGGAGCCGTGATATAATCGGGCTCCTGGTCTTAGTTTTTCTTTCTTGAACTGCCGGTTTTGGTTCGGAAGACGGGTTATAGTTGTTTTTTATAACTCTTCTATAATTTTTTTTTTTAAACCGGGTTGGGCCGGTTCCAGACCCAGCATTTGAGGCTCGTTGACCTGAAGGGCCGGGCCGGATCGTGAACCGGCCCGACCTTGGACACGTCTACTTGTTACATACGTTGAACTTATGTTAGGCCGGGCTAACTGTTAGGGCCCGAACTCTTTCCATAATTCGTATATTACATCTATTTTACATTAATTGTCTAACAGGCTGGATTTAGACCGGTGATTAGTAAAATAATATGCAATTGGACAAGTTGAGTTTCAAAGTTAGTTGACAATGTTGCTTTTTTTATTGAAATCTGCTCCATTACACATTATATTTTACACAAACTGTCTAACAACCTGCATTTAGATATCCTTAATTCTCTAAGGTTGTCTTTGCTTGGACTTGTATGAGCTAGATACCACATCTATTGTTAACAATTCATACGTTTTGTTTATTTCGGTTTGTGAAGGGGAGATAGCCTTTGAAATGGGGGACTGCCTCTTTTCAAGATCTGTATTAAAAAAGAATCTTTTTTTTTTTTTTCCATACATTCAATGCATACTTTGCGCTCATGCATTGTCAAACGGGGACAAAACGAGTACAGTTCGACATATGTAAAGCGCACTATAAGAGGGTGAGTTTAACTACACCATAGTGAGGTTTCATCCCAAAACCAATTTGTGATGGGAGGAGTAACCCACTAGGCTTATAAACTAGACTCATTTACCCTATCAAATTAATGGGGATGACTCACAAGTGATATTCCAACGCGTCTCCTCATTTATGAGTCCTTCATTAGCCAAGCCTACAGCCAGACCGGGTACATTTACCTTATCAAATCAATGGGGACGACTCACAAGTGATATTCCAACACGTCTCCTCACTTGTGAGCCCTTCATCAGCCCAAGCCTACAACCAGGCCGGGTACATCTAATCATCATAAGCCCAAATTAGGCTCGCTCTGATACCATGTCAAACGGGGACAAAACGAGTGTGGTCCCACACATGTGAAGCGCATCATAAGAGGGTGAGTCTAAGTGCACCATAATGAGGTTCATCCCAAAACCAATTGTTGATGGGAGGAGTAACCCACTAGGCTCATTTATCCTATCAAATCAATGTGAGACGACTCAATATTTGACTTTTTTTTTTCATCTATCAAGATTGCATTATAAATTTGATGATAAATAAAAAAGTCGAGTAATTCAAAGCGGGAAGAAAGTACATATTTGCAACATAATTTCCAAAGTTTTCAATTATTGAGTTACAAAAGGTTCAAAACTCCAAAATGAGATTTTTTTTGAATATCACATTTGCTTGACTGCAACAGTAATTCTGGCCAAAACCGTGGCCTTACAAAAGGTATACTGACTTTGGGGTATGAAAATAATATGTGTGTAAAATAAAAAAGATATGAAAAACGCGTGCCTTTCTAGCATTGAATTCGATTACGGTTTAAAATTTGATTATATGGCGCGATACTTTGAATGGAAAATGTAACCAAAAGTGGAGTGTTTTTTCTGAATCTTGTAATGAAAAGTTAGGTAGGGATTAGAAAATTTGGTCACAGTACAAAATGGATTAGTTAAGTTTGTGTTGGTAGTTTGTGTGGTGTGTTGTTGAGGGAGAGCTTTGCCGCCCTTGTGGTCCTACCCGGCTCGATTCCGGATTAGTCGGTTCCCCTGTGGATCCAGAAACCGGAAGGTTCCTGTACCAAAAAAAAAACAAAATATTCTGCATTAATTTTGTAGGATAAAACAATGAGTTGGCCATCACTGTGTACATTTATTTAGGGCACCCACATTGGAGTAATTTATATATAAAAAATCAAGTGGACGAAAAAAAAAAATGAAAAAAAAGAGAGAGTGGAACAAAATAGAAAACACGTATTCACTAAGTATGT